CTGTCAACGTGTATTCTCTATTTTCAGTGGTTGAAAATTTTTCCTCACCTTCTGTATAGATGTATCATAATTCTTATTACATGAGTTGGGTGTTAATTCCAAGAACGGAAATTCCGAAATCAGTCTTTCTCTTCAACGAAATTTATTAGACTGAAGTACACTTGGTTTTTTACAAACTGTTGCGTGGTTGTCTCATCCACTGCGTTGAAATAGTTGAATTAAAACTTGATTATTAGTCTTTGTGGTGTCCATCTTTCAACATTTGGTTGAGTTTCTGTACCTAAATAATTTGTCCTAGCCTGTCACCTGGTTTCACCTGAGTGCATGGTATTTAGCTGACCAAATAGTTTTGCTGAATAGGATCGATAGGATCCTTCAGTCGACAAAGTTTATCTCTGAGTGAATTTGTAGGTTTGATTACCACTTTAGTTCAAGCACTGTAAAGTTTCCGTTGTTCCTTCCTTACACAGTAACGTAATAGCATCTAGCTCGACATTTTTCTATTTGTGTTACTGTTACAACTCATAACACTTTTAGTGCATAATTTCCTATACTCATAGGAGTTTCGTAATAAACTCTAAAGTGTCTGCCTATGCTTATATGTTTCCTCCAATATCTGATTAAGATCTTAGCAACGTAATTCGTTAATCTCCAAATCAACTACTTCTTATCAAGGTAACCTTTCTTTGTCTCGTCTTTTCGAAAGTATCTTATAAGATGTTTATATCGTTATGGGAACAATTTTGAAAAAGTGTCTGATATTTAAGAACGAGGTATAGCGTTAGTTCTGACACTAAGTTGTTTAGCTGTGCTATTGTCAATAAAAACCCGGTCTTGGATCTAGGTACACTAGTCACTGAAGGTATTTCTGAGTATTCTGGGTGGATGAAAACGTCTTCAGAAGCTTTGATAACGAAATGTCACTGGAAGTAACAAGTAGAAGATGAATCAGACCGAATTTCCCAGCAAGGTACCTTCCAGATCTTTCTAGACAAATTATTTGGTGAAAGTGCTTCCCAGAGTCAGCAGGATCTGAATTTTACAGAATACTTAATTGCAGATCAGGTTGGGTTACGTTTCATTCATATTGGGAAGTTTATTACACTTGGAATATAAATATTTTAAATAGTATTTTTCGAATTTTGTCTCTTATTATGGAATAAACTGATGCATTGAAAACTTTGTTGCCCACTATCTAATACATGGGTCAGAACACATTTGCGAGGAGATTTAAAATTAGAAATTGATATGAATTACATGAAAGTAAGAACCTTAGTTCAGTAATCATTCGCAGATTAACCCACTAAGTTGTGAATCGAACTTATGATATGGAAGTTAATCCTACTATCTGATGGCCTGCACGCGAATAAATCAAGTATGACTCAAAAAAATGTAGGTTTCGTACCTGGTCAAGTAAGCGAAAGATTTACAGTATTATAGAGAACAATCTATGATACCGCAAATATTAAGCAGTTTAAAGTCATAAATTAAGTGGAATGTAGTAAAATTAACACTGTGTTTCTATTTATTCCTGTAAAACTGTCGAAAAGGAAGTACATTTATGAACATTAATAATGGTTGGCCACATGAACTGCATCAATAAACCCAACATATTAACCACTTGGTCACTCGGTATTCACCAATGGTTTAATCTAGGTCAATGTATTGACTGAAATGATAAGGATTTTAATATTTTATTACAGTTTTTTTTGGCTGGAGTATGTAGGTAGTTTCATTGCAATATGTGTGTTAAACTTCAAGTCTACAATACTAAGCTCCGTTTTGTTCATTTAACGGTTGATGCCATTTCTCTACTTCATGAACAGTATGCGTAGGTGCTTGTTTTATTTTTATTCACCGAGGTATTCAAAAGTTTAAAATATTTAGATAATAATACTAAGACGGTAACGTTAGCAGTACACTGGATTCCAGCTTGAATGGTATCTCTATGAGGTTTAGAAACTAATGGTAGGTAGTCAGTCGATGAAGTACCACTTGCTGTAAACCCTATGACAGCGGAAAACATTTTGCTACTCAAAAATAATTTCAAACTATTTGGGGATAATGATAGCACTGGCGTTGTCCTATAGGCCAAATCGAACAAGCGCCTTACCACTTGGAAACCAATCGGAATGCTGTCTTATGACTATTGTAAGGTCATTTCTCGCCATCTTAGTAGGCCGTGTTGGACGATTGGTTTCGTGCTGACGAGTTTTTCGTTGATTTATAAAAGTTGCGGAAGTAGTTGACTTTCTTATCTTATGAATGCTTCTCAGTTATGCACTGTTTATGATACTAACTTCGTTGGTTGCCTGTTTTTGTTAACTGCTTTCATTATTTGCGATGTTTGGGGACACATGTGTTTCTTCATGTTATGTTAATGGATTAATGTAAATTTATCCGCGTAATGTTGTTCCTGTTGTGTTGGAAGTTGGTTAACCGTTAAAAAAGCCGTGAAGCTGCCTGTGCTGCCCCTGATCCCCGAATTACTTCAACGTTTACAGCCTTTATCTGGTTGTTTAGGAAGTTGGTGCAAATGTTAACACCTTCCATTGCTGTTTATTATCCTTCAGCTGAAAGTTTGCTAAGAAGAATGCTTTATCTATTCGTTTTCATAGCCTCATAGAGTCTCAGCAAGCCGCTACAAGCAGTGCTAGCCTGGCTAGTCCAACATGTGTGGATATTTCTACGGTTTTTGAGCAGGTTGTACGACCCACACATTCTACTGTCTGGAGTCAAGTTGAAGAGGCGATAAATATCTTTCAGAAAGTTTGCTAAGTAGTCACTTAACTCGATGTTTTGATGACGAATACGCACTACGTCATCAAAGAATGCAATCGTTATAAGGGAGATGCCAATTTAAGGTACCACCATATTGTATTGGCATACACTTTCGGTAACAGGAAAAAGTCAGAAGGTACTGAACAACTGCAACAAGTCAGCTTACAGACAGTAGGCTGGTAATGACATGCCCAGTGTAACGCAGTCAGATAACTCGACGTGCTGTATAGCAAATCTAGCAAGTAAGTGAAGAAAACTACACCAAACGAAGACATTAAGTGAAATTACTCTAAAACAGTCTCGTCTCATAGACAATTTGAACGAAATATTGACCAGTAATGTCAGCTGCGCAACACTAAGTTTACATGACAACATGCTGTTTACCGGCACTCTAATGATAGTCATCTTCATCTTTCCTTAACATTTACATCTAAAAATGGTCTTCAAAATGCTTTAATCTAATATCCATGAATTAAGCGCGTGAATGATGTTTGTAACCTCTCTTCCAGATAATCATTTACTACCTTATCTGCACTTTCTTCAGTTAAAAAATCCATGCTGAATTCGAAACTTGTACTGCCAATTTAATGAGCTTCATGAATAAAGTGCTAATCTAGATGATAAGATTTCATTACCAGTTTTAGACAAGACTGTGTGGTATAGTTTGCATTTCGGCAACTACCCTTTTGTGCTTGATGCTGCTGTATGGGAGATCAGTTGTAATCACATTAAGTGTGTAGTGAAGAAATCAGTCACGGTGATGAGATATGCATATGTGTGATCCTTCAGTAGAACAAACTGCTTTAGGCCTATGAATATGCTTAATTATGACCTACAACAAGTTGAAAGTCTAGATCTAGGAATTTCTATGGAACTACCTTATTTTATCATCAATATATCATATAAAGGATTAGAATTCTCACATGATTTTTAATTTACACAGATGTTACCCCAAAAATAAAAAGCTTATATTGACTAACCGTACATTAGTATTGTAGTGGATATTGCTGATAAGAATAGATAAAAGTAGTATATGTTGAGAAGGTAGCAGAAATCATAGGTAATTACCAGCAATGGGCAAGGATTCCACCAAGAGAAACGCAAGAGACGAGGCAGAAGTATGAAGAGCAAATCAAGGAAGAAGCATATTTTGCAAATGACTATTTTAGTGCAAGGTGTACCATATTTAACGATTACTGTCCCACTTGTTGGCAATAAACACTCCTTCCTGCATACCTGTCTTTCGCTTGCCTGCAAATGCGTTATAAAGCGCACGTCTGGTCCAATTCATTTGAAATGAAGTACAAATTTTAAGTAAACATATACGATTTTCTGCTATAATATCATTTGCATACTGCACTATCAAAGTCCTAATGTAAGCAGTAACATAAAGGATGGTGATATTGTCGATAAAGACAAGTTGCAATGTTTAAGGCACGGATACAACTTAAGATAAAAACAAAGAAAATAGACTGACTGACATTTGAATGAGCAAACATGCATGAAACAAACGTAAATCAGTGTAGATCAGTCAGATGGTATGCATTTCTAAGATGTTGAAGTACGTGGTTCAAAATCCTTGAACATTCACTTGTAACATAATCAAGGTCGACAGAAAGCTAGAGGTTGTGAGTTCTCATCATGTGACAACTGATGTGTTACTTGCATACACAGAAGCCAATTTCATAACAACCATTACCGCGCTCTTGAATTCGGGGACTCAACAGATGCACAAAGCAAATGCTGAGCAATGCTAGACCTATTGTCAACAGGAAATAAAGTTCTAATTAATTTTTTCTGAATGAAATGATGTTTATTCGTTACATAACGAAGTCTTTTACAAATTCACACTCATTTTTGTGGACAAATGAGTCTATCAGCCATAGTTTTCTCACATGTTATAGTAATCACTCAGTATTCACGAAAATGATTAGTTAGTAACTAAAATAAGAATCGAAAGTAAGGGCATTTCTAATATGTATACTGGCTTGGTAAAACTGTCAGCGGTTGCTGTGACAATGAGAGGCAATTAATGTCTGGGTCTAGTAGGTTGGTCAGTAGAGTAGCGAGAGAGTGGCACAGATGTTGTCGGTTCACACAGTACCATGAACTAGGGTTTCTTTCAGTTTCAACCATCAGCTCCTAGTTATGGTACAGACTCAACAGTTTATCAACCGAATCTGTGTCAAATAACCAAATTAACAAAGGATTCTCATATCTAAATCAATTAAAAAGTGTACTTTCATTTGATTGTATATGTATATTACTAGTGAAAATTACATTTGAGGACAAATATCTTCATTTTCATGGTAAACTAACAAAATATAGTACAAATGCAGAACCATGAATTATAAGCTTGAAGGTAGATTCAAAAAGTAGAAACTCAAAGTCACCACAACAAAGTCCTAATATCCTTTTGGTGTGAATGTCTTCTTAAGTTTCTGCACATCTCCATATATTTTCTCGAAGGCTTTTGCCAGTCTTTCTATAACTGTAATTATCGTATCATAATACGCTATTGAAATCTCATCGAAATATGGGGTGATGTAGAAATCATCTAGAGTTTGTACTGATACATCGTTTTGTGTGGTTGTGACTGGTAGTTCTTCCGTTTCGTTTGTTGCGGTTCCGTTTTCAGTTGTGTACACATAATTAGGTGGTGTAGTGTCTTCAGATCCACCTAGTAGAAGTTTCACTCCCCTTTTGTAGTTTCTTGCACTTCAGTTTCATTATTATCAGGTGACTGTGTGTGTTTTTCTTGTTCTAAGGTTGTTACTGTTTCCGACTGTTCATTTAGATCATTGCTTGGGGACTGTGTGCTTTCAGCCTCTTTCGATTCATCAGGTTGACTGGAACTTGTTATTACTTCTGTAGTCGCTACTGTAGTTGATGCACTGTCCTGCACCTCCGTACTTCCATTCTGATCAGTATTTGAGTTCTGTAGATTTTCAGAAACTTTTGTTTCAGTCGATGAATTGAAAGTTTCTGTTACTTCACTCACTGGTGTAGTGATGGTTGAACTGTCTTGAGCATTGGTAATGAAAGGACTCCAGCAGTGTTCTGCAAAACACATAGAGAAAGAATGTAGAAAAGCACATACATAATAAAGTCTAACGTTTTTACAATTAACATTTTCTTATGGATTCATTGTATATATATATATATATATATATATATATATATATGTCCTAGAATGTCACCAATATGTAGTGAATATTCAAAAACCAGTAGCAAAATGTTCACATTTTTTTTGTTCATACAACATCAGATTTACAACTACCTTCACTATCATAGTTACTCCCTTCCTCACACCATTTATTTACTGAAAGTTTCATACTGAACTTGCAATGTGAGATTTATTTACACCTGTGCTGTTTAAGCCTGACAAGTGTCATATATTCGTTTTTTGCTTGCATGATAGCCTGAAGATATTTATGATACTAATCTTCCTTTGTATTATAATTACTTTTTTTTTTCTACTGACAGTGAAGTGTTTTAATACTTACAAGCTTTCCATCCACATGCTTTGATCATGGCCAAAATGATAATGTCTGTAGTGGAATATTCATGATATATCATAGACGGAAGGCAAGTTTTAACCGATTCAACTTAAAAAAATTATAATTATATGGAAAAAAAAAGATATTTTGTTTAATGACAGCAAAACAAGTGAACTGGTGTTTCACTTGGACTTTAATTTAAAGAACCAGATAATAAAGTAAAATAGGGTTATGAACTTATTTTGTCCTCACATAGATAGTACACTAAATGTACTTTGTTGGTGTATGGTTGTATGAACGTTTGTAGTAAACTAGCCTTTGAATTTAGCTTTGTATTGTCTTACGTTTTTCGTTGGTGAGTGGACATTTCACCACCTAGTTTTGAAAAGTCATCATAACTAACTTCATAAAGACGTTAATGATGTCAGGAAATTCGGTTGTGAACGCTTCATCAGAGCTGATAATAAAGTGTGTAGGATCAAATATAAAAGCTAGCAGGTATACAAAACATTTTTGTCCTCATCCTGGTTGAAAATAGCACCCTTAGGCTACTAAACATTTTCCCTCGAAGTGTTCCTATTTCATTTTGTTTTAGACTTTTAAATATGTCTTCCAAATGTATCTAGGATCCTCAGACATTTTTCAAATGTTTTCAACTAGCCGTTTTCCACATTGACAACAAAATGAAGAAACAGCATCACGATAGATGATAATGGACTTTACACTTTGGGTAATATGGGATTACAATTTTTTGACTTGTAAGTAGCCGATAAAAAAACCCCGAAATATAATGTATCTATGCTATTCTGCTAAAACTGTCATTCTTACTACGTTTAGAACAGGCTTACTTGGAAACTATTTTCAGTCCACTATACAACAAATTTAGTCTCGGTAAACCGATTTGAAGAGTCGGATTAGATAACGACAATGATGCTTGAGTATAAGTACGGTTGAACAGATTGCTGACGTGTTTGTAAAGAGATGAGTTCCCTGTAAAGTTTTTGAAATACCGTCTGTCAGAGTGGTTTGTAAGCAGAAGCAAACAGGAGTAAAACGGAAGAGGGGGGGGGAGTCAGAAGCACGGTATATTTCTGTGCAGCTGAGCCAAAATGTGTATTGTTGATGAATCTGTGATGTCCACAAAGACAAAAGTTGATTTCTATATCTCAAGGAAAATGTACAAACAACATGGTGGGAATTTGGAGGTTATCTGAAACATGTGATGCGTTAGCGCGATTATTATTATTTGTCAATTGCTTTCCTAGTGGAACATATGGCTTCAGTAGCGTGTCTCCATCCCACTCTCTTTTCTCCAATCTTTTCAACCTGACGCCACGACTACCCACAAGCTCTCATTTCTTCCTCACATGATCTCCTCCATGTCATCCTTGCCTCGGACGCCCAACTCGCCATTTTCCATCTGGATTCCACTCGGGGACTTGAAGTCCCTGAATGGTCTCAGTGTATGCCCAATCCATCTCCACTTCCTTCCAGGACATATTTGTTAAACGATAGCTTCTTGCTTGGTTCGCTGCCAGCCAGCCAGTCACAGTTCCTTGTTGCTTATTCCAATTGTTCTGCCCATCTGAGATTCAGTAAGCAGCCAGATTAGGCTGTCTTCGATGAATATCTGTAGTTTGTTGCAAATGCCTCTCATAACGCGCCAACTCTCTCAACCATCACATAGAAGCACTGACTCACTCGACTGAATTGGTGTTGGAAATTCGCATCCTGTTCACGCTTCATGCTGAGTGGAGTGTAGTGTAGTGCAGTGTGGAAGAACTGCACACTGGTTTCAAGTTAATGAACGCCTGTCTTGCTGTCTTTCCGACCCTGTCTGGCTTTGACATCCTCATCTGTATCTGTGCCACTGCCGCTTGTATTTGAAAGGATGCTGCCCTGCCTAGATAGGTGAAAGAGACTACTTCCTTCAAGTTTCTCCCGTTCATGGTGATTACAGCTTCTTCTTGTTGTTCTAGTTGGTGGTGTTGGTTGGGTATCATCATTACCTCTCTGCTCTCTACCTTCACTTCAAGTCCCGCCTTCACTGCTCTGCCTCTTCTGTCAACTTGTTAGTTTTCCCCTGTAGATCTCCGAGTTTGTGCAACAAGACATCAGACATGAATCATCATCATGGGCGAAATCCAAATCTTCTAGGCTGTTTTCGGTGGTCCAGCCAGCGTATCCTCCTCTTCTCTCTCCTCACTGTTTGTTGTATGATCCAGTCGATCACAATCAGGAAGATGGTGAGTGATAGTAGACAGCCTTCTCTTACTCCTGTCTTTTGTCTTCACTTCAAATTCATCACTGAACTTTCCACTGTGAAATACTTGTCATGTGGTGTCTTCGTATATTTGTTGAATGAGGTTGATAATGGTTTGCGGTATTCCGTAGTGCTGAAGCACCTGCCAAATTACTTCTTGGTCAACGCTGTCAATAGCCTTTCAAAGTTGGTGAAGTTGAGGTAGAGTTGAGATGACTGCCATTCTGTGCTTTGTTCTATGATGATGCACAGCGTTGCACTTTGACAGACACATGATTTATGCTTCCTGTATCCAGCCTGTTCCGGTCGTAGTTTTTGAATCCAGTGCATCCTTTAGTACCTCCAAGATGATGCGGCCTAATATTTTGCTTGCTTTGGGTGGACAGCAGCATGATCCCGCGACCGTTCTTGCAAACAATTAGGTCACTCTTTCCCGGGAGTTTAAGAAGGTAGCCCCTTTTCCAGTCGGCAGCCACCTTTCCTTCCTTCCAGAACTTCTGCAGTAGTGGTATGGTGTCAGCCTATCCACTGTTGTCCCTGAATCTGTTGTTAGTGCTTCTGGTGGGACTTCGACTTTCGCTGGAGGGCTTGTGTTCACTTGTATTCCTGTGGCTGGGCTGCTGGTGGTATTTCCGGACGAGGTGCAGGTGGTGGTGGTCGATTCAAGAGCTTCTTGAAGTGGTCAGCCAATCGTTCCCTCTGTTTCTCTCCTTTGGTAATTAAATTTCCTTCATCATCTCTTATTGGTCTCACCTTTGTTAATCTCTTCCCAGATAGTAACCTGGTTATTTGATACAATGTTGTCAGGTCTCTCTTACCTGCAGCCTGTTCTGCTTCACTCGCCACTGTGTCGTAGAAGTGTGTTTTGTCTTTGCACGCACTCTTCTTCACTTCTTTGTCTAGTATAGTGTTTTATACATTGTACTCAGATCCTCTTGTCGTTGTGCATCCTTGCACCGGTTTATATTCTGCTTTACCATCCTCCTCTCCCTCCTCTATCACCTTCCATGTGTCCATCGAGATCCATTCCATTCCTTGTCTTCTTTCTTCTTCCTTCCAAGTACGCTTATGTAAGTTTCTTTCCACATCTCTTTCAAGGAATTCCAGTATTCATCCACACAGGTTTCTTCAGGGACGCAGCTCGATATCTCCCATTTTGTCATGATGGCTGACGTGAAGATGTCCCCTGTAGTTTCCTCCTTCAGTTTCTGTTCCAGGTGTTCAACTTGAACTGTGGTCTATCACCAGATTCCTTGAAGGCTTTCAACTTGATTTGGAAGGTTGCTTGCACTAGATAGTGAGTTGTCTGAGCCTACATCTGCTCCTCTTCTTGACCTTGTGTCCAGTAGGCTGGCTGCGTCTACAATCTCTTCACATCGAGATGAAATCAATCTGATTTTTAGTGTAGTGTGTCCTGGTGTCTGGTGAAATCCATGTTGCTTTGTGGATATCCTTGTGCTTAGACACAGTGCCTCACCTCCAATCACCAAATCGTTGAATGCACAGAATTCTGCAAACAATTCTCCATTCTCTTTCATCATTTCACCGAACGCTCCTCGACCCATGGTTAGTTCTCTTTCTGTGTTGTCGACTCCCAGTTTGGCACTCATGTCGCCCATAAGAATTTTGATGTCACCAGCTGTGGTAGGGTCTTGTCCAGTGTTGGTTGCAGTTGTCTGTAGAATTCCTCCATCTTCTCTTCATCTGCATTATTTGTAGGTGCATAGTGTAGCATTGTATGATTGTGACCTTCCTTCCTTCCTTTCGAGTTGAATCTTGCTGTGATGATCCTGGAGGAGGAAACTGGTTCCCACTGCATGAGAGAGAGCCTTCGATGCTGTTGTGGACATCATGATAGCCACTCCCTCCGTGTGCTCGTGGTTGTCGTCTGGGTAACAATATTGGAGTAGATTGTTGACTCCTCTCCAGTTGATAGTTTCGAGAGTCCACTCCCATTCCACCTGCTTTCGCAGATTCCTAGCACGTCTATGCTACACCTTCTCATTTCTTTTGCAATCTGGGCAGCCTTGCTAGGTTCAAGCATATTGCGGACATTCCATATCTACATAATTACTTTCGCTTTCATCGAGAGAACAGAAGACACATCGGCCAATAGGCTTTTCGAAGGCTTTAAGCAATGGGCATCATTTCGCCTCTCCAATTCCAGCGGGGAATAATTTTGTTTTTATTATATATATAGTGTTTACTACAGCTATTGAAGTTGGCTTTCGTTAGTGATATTGGTTTGTCTTCTTTGGTTGTTGCATCCCTAGGTCTGCATAATAGTGTTTGGAAGGAATTTGTTGGTTTATGAGCCACACTAATCCCAAGTGGTTTGCCCCCGCAATCTTGTCGTGATTTCTGATGTATTCTTTGTGTATGGTAGGACGATGCGTCTATTGATT